TTATATAAGGTATGAAACTTCCCGAGGATAATGTTTTTTTATATGTTACAACGGTTACAAACTTAATAAACCAACATTTAACAACTACGTATTAGATATAAATTGCTTAAAATAAATCAGAACTATTTATTAATAAATTATGTCAAAGTAATAATAACTAATTATTATTTTTTGATTGCCTAAAACCCTGGTGATCATCAATATTATCGATGATTATGATGGTGAATCATTTAATTCTTTACATCTTGTATTTGTACAATGAGTGAAGTATTATAATATTATAAGAGTATGCTGTAATAACTGAGTTTTTTTTATTGTAAAAAAAAATGAATGAATGATGATAATAATAATAATAATAAGGATATATATATGTGTGTGTGTGTATAGAAGAGGGAGAGAGGCGAGAAGGAACGGTGCAGACTATGGGATAAAAATAGACGGCCGTGATGATGGCAAGTGAGATATAAATAAGATGAAGAAAATAAAAAAAAATAAAAGAAAAAGGGGAAAACAGGAAGAGAAGAGAAGAAATTGTTGCGAGAAGATTCGAGAGAGACAGCCAGAGAAGGAAGAGACAATAAGAGAGGAGTCGGTCGAGGACGGGAAAGGGAGCTGGAGAAGGAGGAGACGAGTTAGACGACGGAGTGAGCTGTGGTAGTGTGGAGGACGATGGAGATCGGAGGTATGGTGAATTTGTAATGTAAATTCAATCTTGCAAACTTTGAAACGACGTCTGGCATTTGAATTTCTACAGTATTGTCGAGACAGTGTAAGGAATTAGAGGAGGAAATAGGTGTCTGAAGGAATAAGAGAGCGAATGAAGGATTTCGGTTACAAGAAGGTTCGGTTCGGTTAGGACTATAACTAAAGAGGAGTAGGGGAATCCATGGGATGAGAGGTAAATAGGTACGGGAAGGGTGAGTCGGGAGAGAACGATATACGTGCGGGAGAGTGAAAGTTAGACGAATACCATAAGGGGAAGAAAATAAGAGATGCGAGCATTAGGTGGAAAGAGAGAGTGTGAAATTGTAACACCCCGTTTTTTTTTTTCTTAACGGTATACGATAAAGCACTCATATAACATAATACCGAAATCTATATTATTCCAACCATGCACAAGAGAAACTTGTCCACCTTCCTTGTTCCAAATCAATTGTACATACATCTCCACCTCTACAACACATAGTAATACAATATCAAACACTCCTAGATATTCAATATCCAGACTAAACCATTCTTTCAAACTACTTTAAATCACAAACAAAACTTGTGCCCTATGGCACTACCGACGGGGCTCCGTTACCAGCCGCTCGGATCCCAATTCCGTTCTTACTCCACCTGTGAATGATGAGAAGTGAGTTCACATAACTCAATACGATAAAAATCAAGTTGTAAGTGCAATATACAATGACAAGAATTTCAGAAATGTCTATATGCATTTATCCTACTCCAACCCCAACAACTCATAACCCCCTCCCTACACTAATCATCA